GGTTTTTATGTTAGCGAGATTCAATCTTTTCCCTTCCGCTGTGGTCTTAGGCAGATATAGGGGTATCCCCTATAGGGACAGAACCTGCAATTGCCTCTATAGTGAACCTGATTCAGTTGCTCATATTCTTCTACAGTGTCCCCGATATTCTATTATGCGTAGCCATTTGATTAGCCCCCATTTACCTACTACAAGGAATCCGACGGACAAAGATCTTAAAATCTTATTGTCTGATAAGTTCTCAGCACTTACTTTGTCTGTTGCCGAATTTTTAGCCTATGTCTGGAAACTTAGGGTAAGGGCGTACAAGTCTTAATCCCCCTATGTTCTTTAGAATTGTTATATTTTTAACTGAGTATATTATTTATGAGAAGCTTCTAAATGATCTTTTGTTGGGGCAGCTTGGTGCAATTTGCCATGACCTATTAATTTGTTTATTTATTTTTCTAACTGTTTCACTGCCCCTCTTGTTGCTGTGTTATGCCAATAAAGGTTTATGTATATGTATGATTGTTCTTCTTTATTATAATTCGTTTCTCCCATTCTAGTTCCAGATGAATTCTGATTATTGGCATTTCCAGTCAGAAGTCGTCAGGTCATCCGTCCTATCATACTGACCGACTAGGTACAGCCGACCATTTTATGTTTGTTTATGCTTCCGTTTATGCCGAAGTTATTCCCTTACTAATGTATTAAACGTCGTTTATACGATATTAACACTATAAATTTGAGCTACACTTATGGACTTTTACAGCTCTTCCTCGATGTTTTGCAACTGTGGCCCCGGTCACACTGGGGGGAAAGGTGCGGCTGAAGTGCGGCTTCTTTGAGCCGCATCAAAAGAGAAATGCGGTGGCGGGATCAGACAGATTCCCCGAGCTGCTGCGCAGTTGCTCCCCGGCATGATCAGATGCCGGGGGGAAGCCACAGATCGGTGAGCGAAGTGAGCCCGTTGCACATGTGCACGCATGTGCAGTTCTACAGGGCCTCCGTATGCTGCAGGGAGACAGGCGCGTCGGCGATCAGATGCCGGCCCGTGCTGCACATCAACAGGTAGGTAGTACTCATTTGGTGCTACCTTTTTGAGGCAGGTTTTTGGCTGGAAGGGACAGATCGGGGACGGGTGTGCGCCACTTTCCAGATGATGCGGTATGATCGTGCCCACTTGATGCGCCCCCAATCCATCCCTCCCGCGGGGCAAATCCTCCCATGTGACCGGGGCCTGTGTTCGATATATCTCAATAAAAGCCTCGGCCACACGGGCAGGAAAATGCGGGGGGGAGGCGTGCCTGTTTGCACCAGAGCAAACTAACGCGCGACTGTGCGATCAGGCGTCGGGTTGAGGTCCCGTCGAGCTCCCGTGGTTAGGGGGGAGGTGCCGATCACACGACGTGGCAAAGAAGCGGAACAGCGCAGCAAACGGGGTTGTGGTTTTTTTAAAAAACTGAAATGTGCGCATGCTCCGTTGGGTGTTTGTGCGCATCCGTGGAGACTTGGGGGAAAAAACCTTTTTGCGAGGGGACATGGGCAGGCGCCGGAACTACCACCGGAAATGCGATCAGACGCCCGCCCTTGCCCCACGGTTTCCGGAAACTAGTACCTCCGAGGTACTAGTTTTTTACCCCGCATCTTCGTCGGGAAGCCTCGGGTGCATCACGGGAGCTCTATGCTTCCCAGATGTGGTGGTGAGATCGCGCCCGGAAAATCTGCCTATCTTCCGTCTTTCTAGCGTGCCTAATGCTCCGTGTGACCGGGGCCAACGTTTATTTGAAAAGGGCTATCCAGGTCATGGCTGCTAAAAATCTTTTCAGATAGCAGAGAGCCCTGGCTTGCCTATCTGTTCAGCCGTTTACTAAGTGATTTCCTCGGAGTATTTGTTTGCCACAAAACAGTCTCTGTACCAGCAGCTACCAAGAAAAGGTTGAAACACAAATGTTTATAGGATCAAGGGGGCGGTATGTATAAAATGTATAAATGAAAACTAGTCCCAAAGGAGAGAGAATGCTTCAACCCATCTTGGCACACAGAATCATAGAGTTGGAAGGGACCTCCAGGGTCATCTAGTCCAACCCCTTGCACAAT